GCCAGTCATTGTGGCCGACTTGGTTCCCAACCAGATTCTGGACCTAAAATCATTCAGTGAGTGAGCTTTCATCTACTATAATATTACTATTATGATTCATGTTACTTATTGGGTTATGATTGTGATGGTGTGGTTGGTGTGGTGGTGTTTCTGTTCTGAGTCTTTTTCTGGACTAAGTGTGACTCACTGAAGAATTATTCAATGGGTCAGTCAGTCAATTTGAATTTTGACACATTGTGGATGCATTTGCTCCAGGTTCAATGAATGGGGACGTGCAATTGCCGAAATGCAGATTGAGAAGTTCGACAATCCGACAAGTTGCTACAACTGGCACTTCGTCAGCTACCCTCATCCAGATGACTTGGATGCAACAGCTTTGCAGCAGCACATTGCTGGTGTCTTCATGAATGTGTGGTCCTCGGTCTTACTCTTCCGTGAATGAGTTTGACCGACAGATGATGACTCAATCCCTGACCTCGTCGCAGGACTGGTGGGATACTTCAAGTCAAGCTGGCCCTAAAGTTCGTCCACAGTCTGACACCGAACGCCTTGTCGTGCCAAGCTTGGAAGTCTTGTCGCTGGACACAGACTTCAAGGTGACGACACTTGCCTCATGATAATTGATTGAGTCGTCTGTCCTTGGTTTGAGAATAATAGAGCTCGTCGCTTCCTCATGGCAGTGAAGGTTGCCGGAATCGGTGAAGTCAGCACTGGGCACCAGCAAATCCGAGTCTTTGCAGAAGAAGGTGAATGCCCTGAATCTGCAGTCGGCTCCTCTGGGAAGCAGTACTCCCGCAGCCGTCTCTGGAGCAGGGGCAGGGCAAGCTGAAGGGAGGACGGGCAACAGGAATGTTGCCAGAACGCTTTGCCGCCCAGAGTTCAGCCCCGGAGCTACCCCCCCGGATCTCTCCGAACCCTGGTATTGGACATGATGTCAGTTGGCGAGCTCGAGGAAAAGTTACAGCGCCTACACAAACAAGAAGCTACGTTTGATTTTTCGGTTAGAGCACAGTGGCGGGAAGTCTGCAGCCTTCGACACTGCATTGAGGTCCTTCGTCCAGGCTCCCGCATCATCTTGCGACAAGATTGATGTCTTTATCGAGACTGGCACCGAGCCAGGAATTTACCTTGGCAACACGAGCGAAAGCGAGACTGTGACGATGGAAGCCGGGGAGTTGTGCGGTTTCAACCTTGGAAGCTTAGTGGAGAGAGCGCAAGGCGCGGCATGGAGTCTCCCTGTGAGTGAGTTTCACTGTCTTTGTGTGACCGTGACAGGCCCGCTTGAACATATTCCTGCCATGCAACAGACTATCATAGTTAGTAAAGTTTCATGTTTAATGAATAAATCGGAGGCATGGCACGGAACAACAAGGACAAGCACTTGCCGTTTATGTTGGAGAATGATTGGTCCTTGGTCGTGTTCCTCGACCCCGTCCGTGGTAAGGTAGCCATGTCTGTGGCAGACCTCGTGTGCCACGCAACCCAAACGCATGGAATCACGGAAGTGAACCTTGTGGACCACAAGCTCCAACAGATGCTCGAGGCAAGACTTGAGTCTCAATGAGTGCTAGAATTCACTGTTGGAGACGTGTTGAATGGCCCGAGTTATGGCAGGACGATGGTGTCTCGCTGAGGATGTTTCGCTACACATTGGAGCCGAATGCCAAGTTGAATTGCTTTGAGCCCAAGGCTCTGGAGGAGGGTGCCGATGCCAGGTCCTCTCAACTTGGGGCTGCTATGCGTGGTCGCTTCACCAAGTACCCTTTGAGCGGCCCCAACTGTGCCTTGTTGTGGGAGGCACGACGCGGGTTCAAGTTGAAGTTGATGTTTCATCTCTGACTCGTAATAAGTCAGTTAATGTGAGATATTATTCTTAAATTATTATGTGATAGTGACTGAAGTGACAGGTACGGCTGGACCAGGGCGTTCCATGCCAAATCGTGGCCGTGAAACCAAAGCTTTGGCTTCTTGGCGAGTTGAAGCTGGCGCCGCTGACATGCGCAAAGCTTGTGTAGAGCCGGGCAGATTGGACTTGGATACAATTTGTCTCCAGCTTCGGCGGCCGAAGCTTCTTGTGAGCAAGTAGAATTGAATTAAAACCGGTAACCATGATCATGACCTGTCTCCCGGAAGAAGTTTACATTGAATTGGCCTCCGGAAGCTCGGTCCGCCATTTATTTGGATTGACACCTGATTATCTGTACGATGCGCTGGGCCACAGCAGGCGATGCTGCCAGCAGCGAGTGTAAGCCCGATTTTAAGGAAAGTAGGCCGAGAGCTTCGGAGCCTCGCTCTTGTCTCGGCCCAAATCCAAGGAGTTGGCGATGCTGCTGGCAGCCAGCGTAAGCTTGATTTAAGGAAAGTAGGCCGAGAGCTTCGGAGCCTCGCTCTTGTCTCGGCCCAAATCCAAGGAGTTGGGAGCAGCAGCGAGTGAGAGCCCGATCCAAGGAAAGCAGGTCGAGAGGTTCGGAGCCTCGCTCCTTGTCTCGGCCCAAATCCAAGGAGTTGGCGCTTTCACGTCCGCTGCTTTACACACTTTCGTGCGTGAGACTGAACAGACTGGACAGTCGGCCGAGAGGATCAGAGCCTCGCTCTTGTCTTTGCCCAGTCATGTTCTGATTCCGCATGACAGGTCGTCTGAGAGGATCGGAGCCTCGCTCTTGTCTTTGCGATCAGGTTGTCATGCGTGACTGTTTGCCGCCATCAGACCACAGTCCAGGTGGACGGTTACGGTTACCAGTCAGTCCAGTGAATACTACTACTACCCCGAACGGGGTGATATCATTGTCACTGTCATGCCTTTGGCAGATGTCGATGCTCTGTCAGACTCCGATGGCAAGGCTGCTGACGATGAAGGCGCGTCAGAGCTTGAAGAGCCGGCGTCCAAGCCCGAGAAGAAGTCCAAGGCAACGCCCAAGAACACCACCTCCAAGAAGGCGATGAAGAAGAAAAAATCAGCATCCAAAGACGCGAAGAAAAAAAAGAAGAAGTCCATGCGGACATCAGAGCCAGACGCCACAGAGTCAACGGCCTTGACGGCAGCGGGTGAGGACGAGGATCAAGATGAAGACGGAAACGAGTCTGAGGACTTGGGGTCCCCTGACGAGAAGCCGGAATCGGACGTCATCGCGGAGCAGCCGAAGAAGAAGAAGAAGAAGAAGAAGGCAAAGGCCCAAGCAAAAAGCAAATCCAAAGCCAAGGCCAAGGCCAAGGCCAAGGCCAAGGCCAAGGGCAAAGCACAGGCGAAAGTTAAAGCCAAATGTAAGGCAATCATGAGGCGGCCCTCGGCATCCTGCGAGAAAGGAAAAAGTGGACCACGCAAGGTCAAGAGGTACACGTACCTAAAGGAGCAAAAGGTCGGCATCAAGGTGGATGACCACGAGTGGGTCACGGCCTGCAACTCAGTCTGAGGCGTCACCTTGATTAAATTTGAAGCATAACAAGAAAAAGTCGAATCCATAGGTGAAGCTGATCCCGCAGCTTGGACCAGAAGTCCAGCACGAGATCGTAGCCCCGCGGTGGTTATTATTTGGTCTGATTTTATATTTAATCTTGTCCAGATTGTCATCCTGAGGTCAGCCTGACGTTTGTTAAGCGCGGCCTTTTTGCAGTATTAGCTGTAATAATAGTCAATCTCGTAGTAGTAGTAGTAGTAGTAGTAGTAGTAGTAGTAGTAGTAGTAGTAGTGCCAGGAGGCTGCTATGAAGGAGTGCGAGAACTTCAACACCAACAAACAGGACATCAAGACGCTGGTGGTGCACGGCCTTAAGTTTGCATGCCATTCTTAATGTTTTTGCCCAGCGTGGGTCTGAAGTTCACAGCAACTGCCGGAACAGAAGCGCCTTAGGTGATTTTGGCAGAAAAACGCCTATTATATACTGCTGTCAGAATGCACATTAAATTATTATGCTTTTCGCAGGCCTACAGTACTGCTTGCAACTCTAAGGTATTGACATTCACCGTCCACTGAATGCCATGACGAACCTGAGGCAGAGATGACCAATGCCAAGCTCAAGGAGATGAAAAACAAGAAGAACTCCACTGCCGAGCCAACCGCCGCATTGCCCGACAAGGAGCTGACGGCCTACGATTATTACCAGTAACACCACACCTTTACTTTGTTGTTAGCTGTGACATGAATCATCCTGTATTGCCCCCACCAGGACGATGCTGATGATGATGACAATGAGAACAACGAGTCTGAGGACGGCGAGGCTTTCCAGGAGGATGCGTTGGTGGCGGACTGACGGGCCCGGCGCTCCAGATGATGCACTGACTGAGCCACGGCAGGCGATGCTGCTATTCGTAGCAGGTTTAAGGGAAAAATGGCCGAGAGCTTCGGAGCCTCGCTCTTGTCTCGGCCAAAATCCCAGGAGTTGGCGCTTTCAGAGTCTGCCGCTTCGCTCTTAGTGCAAGCATGAGACCCAGAGAACACATTGACTGGAAAAGTCGGTGCCGCTAGACTTAAAATGGATTCGATTCATTCGTCATGTCATATGCCATCATACGACTGCTGACTACTTGCCAGACAGAAGTGAGAGAGACCTGGGACCAGGGAGGGGGGTTCGAGCCTTGGGCCGGACATTATGGGTGGTGGGCTCCTTTGATCTCACCTCCGATAGATATAGTATCCGCAGCGCGCTCTCTGCTCCGATACTGCATGATAATTTTTCCGTTACAGTTTAATTTATTCGGTGGCGAGGTATTTGATATTATTTACTCCTTGATACTAAGACCATGTAATATAATAATAATAATAATAATTTATAATCAATAATAATAATTAGTCAAACTCATTAAAAATTAGTAGACTGTCGTAACAGTACGAGGCTAAGCTTTTTAAAAAAATTAATAAATTTCATAGACCAGACTTTAATTTTTGCGATCAGCTTCAACATAAACGCCCTAATAACCCTTATAATATAGACCCTCGAAGTTAGGCCTAAGACTGACTGTCGAGTTTGGCCCAATGTCGGGAAGAATCTGCCCTTAAAGGCCTTAAGCCCGGAAAGTGTTTAAAATAAGAATTGGCTCAAACTTTGGCTCAATGCGACGACGATTGCCGCTACTACTTTGACATTTTTTTGCAATCGGCGCTCCCCTGGTTGATCTTTTGGGGGCGGCGCGGCGATGCTCCTTTATTATTCAAGCGATACCCTGGTTGATCTTTGGTGGGCGGCGCGGCGATGCTCCTTTATTATTCAAGCGATCCCCTGGTTGATCTTTGGTGGGCGGCGCGGCGATGCCCCTTTCAAGCTCTGCTGAAACAGGATCCCCTGGTTGATCTTTGACCCCCCGAATAGTACGAAAAAGCCTTAACCCCGAGGACGCCACGGAGGAAGTTCCCTACATCGCGCAGCTCCGGACGCCCGACATGAACACCTGGCGCCAAGCCCTGCGCTCCGCCTGGAGACACGCCGACGGCTTCCCCACCGAGGAGCTGAAGCGCTACGTCCTGAACTACGCCTTCGTGTACTGCCTGCCCCGCTCCCTGCAGCCCGACCACGACCTGGCCGCGAACAGCGACAACGAGGACCTGAATGACGAGGTCTGCCACTTCGAGGACGACGAGATCGAGCAGGCCACAAAGACGCGGGTGCGAGGGGCCGGCAAAGAATCGCCGGCAGACGCAGAAGAAGAGGATCCGGCCGACGAAGGCGAGCCGCCCGCCACCAGCACCCAGCACGACCTCACGATCCAAATGATGAGCCTCTCCCGAAACGTCTGGCTGGGCGAGGCTTCCAAAGCCAGCGAAGTGCCTCGAAAAGTAGCCCAGCAACTCTTCCAAAAAGCAAGCGAGGGCAAAGGCATCACCGATGCGCAGCAGATGCTGGACGCCGCCAGGGCCTCCCGCAACAAGAGGGCGCCGGAAGCGGATGCGGAAGGCTCGGGCCTGGACGGCGCCCGCCGCAAAGGCACCGCCAGACATCACCGGGCCGTTAGCAACACGCAGCTGCGAGCCTGGCTGGAAAGCGCAGAGGTGCGGAACGACCTCAACGAGGAGCAGCACGAGTTCCTGAAGCTAGTGGTGGAGCGCGTGCTCGTCGAATACAAGCTCGAGCCGGCTCAAGACACCGTCCGCAACAGCGAAGAACCGATGATCTGGCTGCTGCACGGCCGGCCCGGAACGGGCAAGACCCACGTGCTCAAGCACGTGCGAAAACTCTTCGAGCACTACCTGGGCTACGTGCAGGGCATCGAATTTCAGTTCGCCGCCTTCCAAGCCACCAACGCGGCCCAGATACAGGGGGAAACGCTGCACGCGGCCTGCGGCCTCAGCAAAGAGCGAGACTGCCTGGAGACGGCATGCAAACCAGACACGGCCAAGCGAATAGCCAACTTGCGCTGGCTCATCGCCGACGAGGTGGGCATGATCAGTGCCCGACTCCTGGGGCAAGTGGAAATGCGCACGCGATGCACGGTGCCCAAGTCCGGGCCATGGAAGCACGACGCCACCGGCAACATCAGACCCTTCGCCGGGCTCAACGTGATCTTCAGCGGCGACTTCCGGCAACTCCCGCCGCCCGAAGGAGGCTTCCTAGCGGACCTGCCTGCCAAGCTGCAAGCTCCCGGCAAAGCCGCCACAGGGGCCCCGCAGCGCGACCCACTCGTAGACCTCGGACAGAGCCTCTTCTGGGAGGGTGCCGTGCAAGGCGTCACGGAACTGATCGAGCGAATGAGATGCAAAGACGACTGGTGGAACCAGGCGACAACGCAGCTAACACACAGCACTTAAAAGAACAAACAAAAGCAACAAAGACAAGAGGAATGCAACGAAGCACCCCCCTGCGCAGGTCGTGGACGAACTCCGAGAAGCAAGGCTTTCCGAAGATAACTGG